AATATTAATTTTTAAATATTTTAATGTACCCAGATATAAAGTTTAAAATAAAATATGCACAATGTATTGAACTTGTCAACTAAGCAGAAGTTAGTCACCTTGTACAGTAACGACAGTTCAAGAGGTGTCCCCCTAGGGGTGCTCCACTGTAGGTGTGTCTGCATCCCTGCGCTGCTGATTGAAGAACTTTGGTAGCAGTCCATCACGCCCACGCAGGCGCAGCTCCTCACCTGCCACAAGGTCAGCCAGCATACGTGGGTGACCCTCAGTTCCTTTTCTACTGCAGAGTCAATGACAAGAACTCCAAAGTAGAGGGGAGGAGGGTGGGCTGTGGAGCACCCATAGGGACACACATCTCAAAGAACCATCATTACTGCACAAGGTAACTATTACTTCTTCTTCGAGTGGTGTCCCTGTGGGTGCTCCACTGTAGGTGACTCCTAAGCAGTGCCCACCACTGGAGGCTGGGACTTTGAAGTTGAGTCTGATATGGATGATAGCACAAAATTTGGCATCTGCAGCTGAATCCCCCAGGATGGCATAGGTGTTCTGCAAAGGTAAGTGCAGATGCCCAGGTAGCTGTTCTGCAGATTTCTGAAACAGGGATACCCATGGAGAAGGCGACAGATGAGGAGATCGACCTTGTAGAATGCAACCATATTGAAGATGTGGGTGTTAAACTCTGTTACCAATTGCATAATGTAATACAGCCAGAGACTCAGTTGGAGAGTCTCTGAGCTAAAATCGCTGTACCTTTTGATCTACCCGCAATGGAGAGGAAGAGTCTTGGAAATTTTTTGAAGATTCTTATCCTGTCCAAACAGAAGGCCAAGGTTCTCCTCACGTCAAGTGTATGAAGGATGGCTTCCCTATTATCCTGATGAGGTTTGGGATAAAAGGCTGGAAGCCAAATAAGCTGATTTATGTGGAATGCAGAAGACATCTTGGGAGTGAACTTTGTATGTGGTCTCAGCATGACCTTGTCAGGAAATAACACAGTGAAAGGGGGAGGAGCCAGAGCCGCTATTTCTCCTACCCTTCTTGCAGAGGTAATGGCAATCAGGAACACCATCTTCCTGGAAAGGCAAGTTAATGAACAAGTGGCCATAGGTTCAAATTGCAGTCTAGTCAACCCTTTTAGCAGTTGGTTGAGATCCCATTGAGGAGTGGGAAATCTGGGTGGTGGAAAGAGGTTCGTTATGCCTGTGAGAAACCTCTTTGTAGTCAGATGGGAAAAGACTGAGTAACCTTCTACCTGTTGATGGAAGCTTGCAACTGCTGCTAAATGAACCTCTAGCGCACTAACAGAGAGACCCAATTTCTTGAGAGCCAATAGGTAGTCCAGGACTACCGGTAGGGTGGCTGTATTAGGGGTGACATCTTTAGGCTGGCACCAGATTTGGTATCTCTTCCATTTTTGCAGACAGGTACGATGAGTACTTCCTTCTCTATTGTGTAATAGCACCTCCTCAGAGCAAGATGTCTCTGTGTGCTAGAAGCATGAAGGAGCCATGCTTTGAGTCGCACACTCTGTAAGTTGGGATGGAGAGTGCATCTCTCGTTGCGTGACAGGAGGGGAGGTGTGACGGAGAGCCATCAGTGGACATAATGCCACCTGTGACAGTAAGGGTACCACATCTGCCTGGACCATATGGGAACATTCTTTTTCTCTTGTCACTTTCAACAGTATTTAATTAATAGAGGGAATGTGGGAAAGACGTAAAGAAGTCTCTTGTCCCATGGGAGGAGGAAAGCATCTCCCATGGAGTGTCATCTGATCCCCACTCTGGAGCAATACCGTGGACATTTCTTGTTGTGGTAAGTAGCAAACAGCTCTATTACTGGTGTCCCTCATTGTCTGAATATGGGGAGTACCACCGACTCTATCTCCCATTTGTGATTGTCATGGGCAGTGCGTATAATACGCCAGCCTCCCCTGGTGCTGCTGCAGCTGCCGGACTCCCAGTTGTGGGGTTTGGGGGTGAAGTTTTTGATTTCTTATGCCCCATGTAGGTTCTGGGGCAGCTGAGGAGGAGGCATGTGCTATTCAGCTTCCTGAGTTCATCAGTAATCTCTCTGGACCCAGGAAGCTGAGTAGAAAAATACCGCCTACTCAGCCACCCCAGAACCTGCATGGGGCATAGCAAAAGTGTCTTCCAGACCTGAGAGACACTTTTCCCTGGGCGGCTTGGGGTCTGGGGAGGGGAGGTACAGCTGCAGCTGGCCCAGGAGTCGTCCGGGTGGGGAGGAGGAGAGGTTTGGGGCATCGACCAGCCTGGGGCTCCTCTGGGTGGGGGGCTGGGTGGGGTCAGGACTTTGGCTGTTTCAGGGCTCCTCTAGCCGAGAGGGGAGGCGCTCTGGGCTATTCCGGGCAGGGGGTGCAGTGCGGGGAGGGGGTTCCTCGATGTTACCAGGGTTGGCGGGAGGCAAACTTCTTCGTCGTCGGTTTTTGTTTTAAGGTATGGCCAAATAAAATGTAAAAGTAGTAACAAAGAAAAAAGCTTCAAGGGAAGCTAAATTTAGTAAATCTAAAGGGAGGTAACGATCCACGAATGGACAGCTCTAGCTCCTTCTCTAGCCGGGGTGATTGAGAAGGAACTGACAAGGTTCACCTGCTAACGGTGGCTAACCTCGTGGCAGGTGAGGAGCAGCGCATGCACGGGTTGGACAGACTGCTACCAATGTTCTCCAACCAGTAGCGCTGGGACACAGACACGCCTACAGTGGAGTAACCATAGGGACGCTACTCAAAGAACATACGTTTCTCAACAGTAATATACTAAAGGAAGAAAATGGAGCTGATTTCACCCTGTCCTCAATTTAATTCACTCTGGGAGCATAAAGGAGAGGTAAACAGCCCATGTAAGAGGGTAGCTTAGGCAGCATGGAGTTGTCACAATCACCCTGTACTACTCCAGAAGTATGGGATGTGCAAAGAGTAGGGAGTTGGAGAGGTGGTGCAGCCAGAGTATAGTGCATTCTAGCTATCCTGGGATGCCAGGAGGCCACCGCAGCCAGGACTCCAAATCAGAGCAGCTGTGAATTTCCTCTAAAGTACAACAAGGGCCTGCCAAGCCCTGGACAGCACATATATAAAAGGAGCATAAAGGTGGTTTAAAGCCCTCATTTCTTTCCTATGCACAGCACTATGCACAGTCAAGAATCAAGTCCACTGTTCCTTTTTTACAATAATACTAAACCAATATAAACTGTACCTTTTGAACTAACACACATTTTAAAAAGTTTTAATGTATATAGACCCAGGTAGAAAATGTGGGATTTACTTTGAACATCACATTCCTCGGTGCACCATTATAAGCTATATGCACATGGATGGCAGGCAGCTATTTCACAACAGCACGCACTATTCCTTTCTTATAAATTGGTTTGTGCAAAATCTTTCTGAAAATGGGATGTATATAATATATTATGGGATTATTAATGTTAATATATTATGGGATTCAATTTCAACTGGTTCGAACAGTTTTAGGAACTATTCAGGTCTTTTTAAGCAAAGTTTTCATTTTCAAGATGTATTCCCCAAAATATTCCATAGTCAACCTGAGTCAATACTGCTCTGGAGTTATGCCTGCGGTGTTGTAGCTTACTACAAGAGATAGTATCTGGGTCTCGACTAAGAAAGCAGCCTATACGAGGGGAAAAAAAAACCCAAACAGCTATATGTTTAAGAACACATCTATTTTCCCACCTGTATTCCAGTTGGAATCCGGCTGAATGCTAAAAAATTTCCGTTTTGTTTCTACCTAAGCATTGCTAAACAATCTTTTATACTAATTGATTTAATACTGCTATTGAATTTAGCTTGTAACTTTTCAGTAAGACTATCTTGACAAAGTTATGTATGTGAATAATACATTCTAGGTTCTTACAATGATCAGATTCTCCACTGCCTTGAGCCTTAGTTAGTCATTTATACCTGTGCCAAGTGGGTGTAAAATGGTATTATAGGTGTGAGTGCAGAATTCTGATTTGGTAATATTTTTATACTTACATTGTAAAGATGTAAGTGACTGCACAAAAACACAAGGAAGAGGAGAATCAAGCTCAAGTATCTGAAATACCAGTACAGTCTCCATAGACCAAAATAATCACCACTAGGTGTCACCCTTTGCTACTGTATAAAACACTATACATACAAACAACTGTTTCACTTTAAAATTATATGGGAGCAATTTTACTACTATACTGACTGCAATGTAGTATTTTATTCAGCATCTCTTCACTTTATTCCTAGTTTTGATTTTTAAAAAGTATCTCGGGTAAATGAATTAAGGGATTTGCTTCTACATCAGCTAAAAGGAATTCTTGTAATCACAATTTTACAGAGAATGTCAGAGTATATGACCCTTGCAACATGAACATATGTTGCAATATGCTAGAGGTATTGATGTATCATTCTTAGGTTATGTAAAAACAATTTTACAAATACTTTTACAAAAAGGAGGAGTCTTAAGGAAGAAGTGTAACTAGCAACAAAATTTATGCATTTTTGAAGATGGGTAAGTAAATTATATTCTCAAATAGTCTGAATTCCTCGCACCCCCACAAAAGACAATTAAAATCTTTATTTGCAAAGAAGAAGGGTGCAACCATGCCCAGCCTTGCACAGATTCAGAGGGAGCCTGCCCACGAGGGACTGATCTGAAGAGAGAAGGAGCTATGCATCCAAAAAGTGATAGAGATCACATGCTCACTGGGGCACAATGCTTGGCAGTTCACATCTGCACCACTCCCTACTGTGGACCGTCCCTTAACACTACAATGAACCATTAGTCTCAAATCTGGTTTCAGAAGCAATTCTAAACAATTTGACTTCAAAACAATAGTTTTGCAGATTAATCATCAAAATACAATGGTGCCATTTTATCTAAGGCTACACAGAGGTTTGTGAATGGTCAGTATTTGCAGTTGTTACTTTTCATCATTTTTCTTTTTATCATTGTACCACAACATGTATTTTTATTCTAAATAAACCTTACCAACTGTGCAGCTGTCTTCAAGTACTACATCCACATTTCTGTCTCTGTATTCAACCCTGAAGTCAAGCATCCGCGGTTGTCTTTCCACTATTTGTCGGGATGGCACTACATGTCGAAACGCTGAGGATGAGGAAGGAGTTGACGAAGATGCTGTAGGATGACTTGTGGGACCATAGGCTGGTCCTTGCAAAGTCTCTCCACCATATTCACTGAAAGATATATAGTTTAGAGAATTTAAATAGAACAGAATGAGAACTGAACTATTTGAAGAAACGGGAGCCAAGCGAGATGAGCAGTATATTCCCTTACTGTCATCCACAACTTATACTTGTGACAGCTACATTGTATCATGTATCTGACATACAATCATTTCTTGTATTGTTAGTAAAACAGCCTGTATCTACAACATTTTTCTTAAATATTAGCAACTGAAAAGCTCAACAGAGATTGTTAAAATACTGCAGGACCAGCTTTTAAACAATCTTTTGGGCCTTAAGTTTAATATATGTATTACAAATCACAGAATGACTTGTAGAGTAAGGTGCACAATATTGCAACCCCACGGAAGTACTACATATCCATACCAGAATCCCAAGGATATCCGACGCTTAAAGTTCTACACAGCAGCCACCATTCTACTACCACATCATCAGGCTAGTGTCATCCCAAGAGTGTCTGGGAGAAAGTGCAGCAGAGATGTATCCCATAATCTTAGAGAGACAAACCTATTTTCAAATTAATCGGACAGATTAAAGAGGAAAATAAATAATTATAATCTCCCTTAACTGCCTGAAGCAAAAAGAGACATCAGTGTATTAGTTGAGGAGTAAAATCTAGAAATATATGTTAATTACAGAATGTTGAATTCCAGCTTCTCCTTGAGCCTCATCTCCCTCCACACTACTCCTGTGCACTTCTGTATGGGCCACGGGATAGTAAAATGAGAAGTGAATGTAGCTTTGCACAGGTTAATTTGGAGAACTTAAGCTACAGGCTCTTCATTTAGCCTCTCTCCAAAGAGCATGGTGCTGGAGATTAGTTTTGTCACCCTGCTTACAAGGCATATTAAGAAACAACATTCAGGCCAAAGAGAATGTGGAACCACTTTGACAAAATTAGCATTTTACCTACTAAAATGAACATTCCACCAAAGAGAAAAGGAGTACTTGTGGCACCTTAGAGACTAACCAATTTATTTGAGCATAAGCTTTCGTGAGCTACAGCTACATCCGATGAAGTGAGCTGCAGCTCACGAAAGCTCATGCTCAAATAAATTGGTTAGTCTCTAAGGTGCCACTAGTCCTCCTTTTCTTTTTGCGAATACAGACTAACACGGCTGTTACTCTGAAACCTGTCATTCCACCAAAGGAATCCAGGAAATAATGTTTGTAGAGTATGGCTGGAGTTCTGCTTTGCAGATGTCCTCAAGTGGAAGACAGTGACTACAGACATACAGTGAAATCTGTATGGGAAACTATCCTTATTAGGCAGCTCCAGATGTCCTGATGGTAGGTGCATGCTAACAGAGTGTGCTTCAAGAATGGAATCTGAATGAATAATACTTTAATTTTTTAAATAGGGCTGCTGAAATTTGGGATCATGCCAATTTCCCCCCCCCCCCCCTTTTTTTTTTTTGTTAAAGGGAGCTTATTTAGAAAGCCATATTCCACTTTCTTAAAAAAAGAAAGTCAAGAAGCATCTTGATGCAAAAGCCTTATAAAAAAAACCTGTTAAACTTCCCTCCCCCCCCCCCCCCGGCCCTTAGTGAGGACATGAACTCAGTGAGCGCAGCCAGTTGTTACACACACATGCTATATGATTAACAAACACTGTCTACATTCCCAACTGTCTGCTGGTGCAATTCCTATCATTTTACCTCCCACGTTCTGAAAAGAAAAAATTAAGTGTTATGCTTTTCTGGTAGTACAAAGGTCTCTTTTCCTTTTCTCTAATCAGCAGACACATAAAGAGGAATTCTCAGCTATGTGAAACCTACAGGGATTTCAGAGTTCTAAAGTACACAAGGAATCTGTTTTGGTTTGTGCAGCTTTTAATTATAATACTAAGTACCACTAGGAATTTGTTATGCAGAGTTAAACAATGACCATCTATTGATCCAGTTGTTTCTTTTTAAAAAGGGGGACGAAATACTGAATGTTAAAATTAAAAAGTGATACAATAGTTTCTGTGACAATAATTTTGTTAGTAATCCTAAATAGCAATCTCAGGACATACTTCTTTAAATCACAACTGTGTTACATTTAGTGACCGAGAGGATATTTGTTGTCTGAAAATATTACTTGCATCCAGTTCACCCCTATTAAATAACATTAATTGCATTAAAAAAAAAAACCACACAGCCCATAAACACACTTAGCTACCAGCAGTTGGACACTCACATAATGATTCAATTCAGCAATACCTTTGATTTATGAGATCATGGCTGAGATTTTCAAAAGAGCATAAGGGAGTCAGGTGTCCAACTTCCTTTGAAAACCAATGGAAATTGGGTGCCTAACTCCCTTAGGCCTATGAAATTCCACCTTACATCATCGGGGGGAAACCCAAAACAGCTTGACACACATTCAACTGCTTAGATTTTTTAGACAGAAAGAAAGGCTGAAGAAACATAGTGTTAAGCATCAGAATTGACTTTTATCAAAGCCTTCACTTATTGCTGAACCAAAAGAAAAAAAGTACTGCTAATCAGTCTGGTGAGTATTTAGATTTAAAATGCTTTGTACGCATATGTTCGGGGGTTTCTGGGCCCTACACTAATAAAACGTACATTAAATAACTTAAGACTAATAATTAAATACAGCATAGCTGCCAAAATATTGATTTACTTACATTATAGGTAGCATCTACCATAAGTTAAGAACATTTTAAAACATCATATTGAGTATTTGTCCTGAAAGCTTTGTATCACAACATTCTACTGGCTCTCCCAAACAGCTGAATTCCTGTTCTGCTGTTTCCGATTGCCTCATCAGCACTTAGCAGATCATGCTTCAGTGACTCAGAATCCCAGGCATGAGCACACAAGCCAAAACTGAATTCAAAACTTTGAAAGAAAACAAGTGCATCAACTTTTTGAAGTGGGTAATCTACTTTCTTTGACACAGTATCCTTTACCTGCAACCCACTGAAAGGGCACCAGTAACTCTAAGAGAGAGAAAAATTATCACCACCTTTCATGCATGTGTGTGCATGAATCAAAAGAGAAAAAGGAAAAAAAAATTAGCCAAGGACATGGGGGCAATTCCCAGCTGTTAGAAAAAGTGCTTTGGAATTTTTTTGGTCCATACAGAAGAGATGGAACCTCACTTTTAGGGAATTATCTGACAGACTCAGATTTAGTCAACTGTATATCCAAAAGGGACTGATCCTATACCTACTGAAGCCAGTGGAAAGAATTCACCAATGTTGATGAGGGTTGGATCAGGTCCTTAGTCAGTCTTGGAAAGTTGAGGGGTTCAGTCAGCCCTCCCAAGAGCTGAACTCATGACTCTTGGGAGTCTAACTATTTCAAAATGACACTTACAGTATTACATCTTCCTCCTAAGGGATAGAGTTGGAGATGAAGAAAGAAGAGGTAGGGGAAGAGGAAGTAAACCTCTCCCATGACTACTATTACACAGTACCTCTTTCTACACATTATTGCTCCAAGCTTCTTTACTTACCTTTGTAGAATGCCGTTTTCTTGTGGTATTACACCATTTATAGCTGCCTGTAAACAAAAAGATATACAGTAAGTCAAACAAGCAAGGCAGCAGTAAGATCAGAAAAACTTGAGATATTTCTGCAAAGCAATTCAAATGTGCTTATACAAAAATGACTCAAATTTGCTTAAACAAAATCCCCAATACTCCCTAAGCACATCGAATATTCTACATTCAGTTCATACAGAAGCACCTGACAGTGCCACTAGAGTACATTCTTGTCATAACCCCTATTTCAAAGGAGGCAGGCCTGAAACAAGACTTTGGATCCAAACGGTATAGGTATCTTTATAACAGGCCAAAATAAAACTAAAACTTTCTAAATTTAACGATTCAAAATGTCAGGGTGGTTAGATTTGGTTGATTACAGACATGTTTGAATTACAGTTTCAAAGCCAACAGAGATCTGAATGCAAGATGTTTGTTTATCCCATTCACATATTTCAGTAATTTTAACACAAGGCTGACACATAACATATCAAATCTTTATTTAGAAAGTAATTTTCCTCTAATATTTTTGTACAGGTTCTTAATTTGCTATATGAATTTTATGGGTAGGTACCATGATTTTAGTTTGAATTCAGTTTCAGCTTCTAGACCTGTTCCAAAAGTTAATTTATTGCATACTATTCCAACTAGGTTAGCTCAGTTTCACTGATCATGTGTTTATTGCAATGAACATTTTTCAACATTGGTAGTCATGTAAAAAAAACAAAACCCACCCTCAGAAAATTTAGTTTCTAACAGTAAGAATGCTTCTTCTAGGACTCTAGTTCAGGGAATGTTTGCAAAACAACATTAAGACAGACAATACGATCTAGAGAACAAATGTGATCAAAAGGGGTGACAGTACAGACCTGAGAGCTAAGAGTTACAATAAAACCTTAGAGTTATGAACACTTCAGGAACAGAGATTGTGCGTAACTCTGAAATGTTCGTCACTCTGAACAAATTGTTATGGTTGTTCTTTCAAAAGTTTACAACTGAACACTGACTTGGTACAGCTTTGAAACTTGACTATGAAGAAGAAAAATGCTGCTCTCCCTTTTTTTTTTTTTAGTAGTTTATGTTTAACACAGCACTGTACTGTATTTGCCTTTTTGTTTTGTTTTGTCTCTGCTGCTGCTGGATTGCGTACTTCCAGTTCCAAATAAGATGTGTGATTGACTGGTCAGTTTATAACTCCGAGGTTCTACTGTACCAAATTCTACTCCCAGTTCTGATACTGACTCTCTTTACAACCTGGGGTAAGACACAGCCAAATTTTCAAACTAGCCACTAATTTGGATTCCCAAATTTAGACACTGTGAGCATAATCTTCAGAATTATTGAAGATCCACAACTGCAAATGAATCAATAAATGATAGAGGTGGATGTTCAGCACCTGGGGGTGGGGGGAATCAGGCCCCAGATACCTAAAGGACAGCACTTAACAAATGGGCCCCTTTCAAAATCTGGCCCTTAACCTCTTTCCTTCAATTTTCCCATCTGGAAAACAGAAGTGATAATACTTACTCCTACAGTCCTTACTTACTTCCAACCTCTTCGGCTGAATTTTTGTAAATCACTTTTAAGATTATAAATTATGCAGTAACAAAGCGTTTAAGGTATCCATCACCATGATATCTGGGTGCAGTATTATTCGTTATTATATTACCATTTGTTGTCAAAGATTCTGACGTACGTGTTGTGGGGATATTCCCTGTAACAGTCCAAAAAATCTATACCAGATGGAATGGTAGCATGTTTAAACAAGGAGAGTAACTAAAGCCTATTACACTACACTACCTGGTTGAATTATAATGGTCTTCTGACATGACTACAACATGATTCCACTCTACAGTAGTGGAGACACGTTTTCTACTATGTTCCCAAAACCTAGTATATGTAGGAAAATAATACTTAGAAAAGATTGGTATTGCAATAAGTGGATTTTGGGCACATCTGAATATAGTCTTACTTTTTCTAGGTATGTTACAAGTTGATAAAAATGAGCATGGGACCTTATACTTGACCAAAGCTTTTGCAGTAATTAAAAAGGGGACAACTGTGTTGGAACTGGATTCCCAACATGGTTGTAACTGTAGTGTAATGGTCCTTTAGATATAGTCTGCCACCATATGTAACCATGGGTCCTGTCTAACAAAGAAGGCCCATTTTCCTGAATGTTGGGCAAGCCCTCATTTCTTAGCATGAGATGATTCAGGGGTTGGAGGGTTATGTATTAAACAATACTTTGCATTTTGGTAGCATTTCAAAGCACTTGTCAAAGTCTAAATTAGTCCTCCAAACATACCAGTGACATAGGTACTATCCTAATTTTTAAGATGGGAGACTAAAACAGTGAGGATAAGGAATTGTCAAGGGCCGGAGTGGAAATCAGCATCAGAGCCAGGGCCAGAATTAGAAAGCAGGAGTCCCTGGTTCCCTTCCTGTGTTTGGCTATTTGTGTAAACTTGTACACACACATACACACACACACACACACACACATTAAGACAATAGGCAGGAGTGCCAAGCAACTCCTCACATTATGTACTCTCTCATGAACACAATCAGTACTTTACAAAACAAAGTATTGCTACAGAAGTGGCTCCCTGTACTTTAAGACAAAGGTATTTCTTTTTTTAAAAAGCTGCTGAGCATGTCACTTGCCAGCAAAACTATTAGCTCACAAATATGCAGTCATGGCATTGGACAGGAATTTTATAAAGTCACGCTCTGATTGACCAAGTTAGCTTTTTTGATGTTGACCCACATATAAACAACCCCTAGAAAATATGCTGTTTGGACTCCACACTCTACAGAAACAGACAATCTGGAAGTCACTATACGTTAGATCAAGATTCTAGATGAACAGTCTTCTGGTCAGTGCGGGGGAGGTATCTGGTTTAGGACTGCTTTGCACCACAAAAGGGTGCACCTTCAGGCCATCTCAATGCAAGGATTTTTCAGACTTGACATTCACAGTTGCTGCATTGACAGATTTTGAAATGTAGACAACACTCCGGCATTTTACTACTGAGTTGTTTTTGACTGTGCTCTGAGTAGAGGCAGAAGATACGGTAGTAAAAATGCCAGAATCTTGTCTACACTTCAGTTTAGCAGACACATTCTAAGACAGTAGAGTTACAGTAGATCAGCATAGGAGAGTTCTCCAATTCTAATGATCTTAGTTGAGGAGGAGGAAAATGTGTCTCTTGGAAGGTCTTCGTACCAAGCTGCTTCTTCTGCACCTTATTTGTCTCCTTCAGGCTGAATTCAGAAGTTCACTTTCAGTCTCCTATGGATTCAGTGGCACTCAATTCACTGGACTCTGGGAAGCCACTGTCCATCAAGATGGCTTTTACAAACTGGTAGCACAGCTAGCCATATACTTACCACCTCTTTTTCTGTATTAAAGAGATGCTATATGTAGTACTGTAGTTAGCTAATGAATCATACAAAAACTATGAACTAAGATTTAAATGCTAACTTGTTTTATTCCAATAAACCTACAATTTTGAATTTTAAATACATATTGTGTTATAATTACCTTAGAATATCAACAAGTCATAATCCTTGCTGCTGAATTCAGCTAAGTAGCTATGATACTCTTAACATTTGTCATGCATTTTTGAAAAAAAATATACAAAGAACAATACAGTGAGTCAACTAGTTTGCCGTCATTTAAGTAGTGGTATTTTGAGAACCATAAAATGCTTTGTTAACCACATGTCTTGCACATGTACATGAAGGGGTTGCAGCTGTTTACAGCTATTGATCATCTTAATCTAATAAACCACCAGTAAAAGGTCTCACAATGCTCTTCAGCAATAGACATTTTCTCCATTGTCACTTAATAGAACTGATATATTCTTCATTGTGCATCTTGGTGAATCAAAACACAGCAAGTGCAGTTCTTCTCTCATAGGAACAGTCACTACTGATAATGGTAATCTGATATCCTGGAATTCTCTTTACCTTGAGAAAAAAGTTGCATTGGGAATGAAAATCTAGTACAGTAATTGAGATATTTAGAGTTCAGCACTTGCACAGTTTGTCTGGTAAAACCTAGTTTTTATAAAAATCTCAGAGGATGAAACTAGCTCAAGCTTTCCCAAATTCAAGTGCAAGAGCAAAAATTATTAGATGAGGTGGGGGCTCCAAACTATTTTGTCAAAGACCGAACAACCCTTCTAAGCCTGCTCTTATGTCCCAAACTATATGAACTGGACAACATTGAAGGGTCACAGAAATGAGAGATAATAATGGCCATACTACATAACTTCTTGGTGAGGTGGCCTGCAATCGATAACTACAATGTAGAGTAAAACTGCATAAAGAGTTTGGGCAACGGTTTGTTAAGAGAGATAGAAACTGGAAAGATATAAGAGATTAGGAGAGGGGTACACATGTGTCTCTTGGCGTTTTGAATAGGCAACCATTTCTGAGTCTCAACCTTGAAAATGCTGATAAAGGACACATGGACAGTCTGTGCTCTGATGCCTGAATGACTAACACAAAACTAAATACACACAACTGATTAATGAAAGATTTTCCTAACTAATTTTTTGAAAAAATTAGTCTCCTCTATTAGACAATTAAGTCTTCATGGTTAAGCAAACATTTAATATACTGAGAGGACTCTCTAAAATATTCGTACGTGTCCATCCAAATAAGACCGGGGATATATAATTTTAAAAAATTAAACAAAATCTGCTTCCCTTGAAACGATTTTAGTAAAGGTATAGTAAATCCATTCATTGTTATCTTTACATTAAAGTTTAACCAACCTTAAGCAGAAACATAGACACTTAGAGCAGTCAATTCATGAAGCCAACAACCTTAGTAGTATCTAACTCAGTGGTTCTCAATCCGCAGCCCACGGGCCCGTTACAGCCCAATCAGCACATAGCTGCAACTCCTGTGACATACAGGTTGTATATAGATAGTGTTGATGGAGCCCACATAGCACAGAGAGCTGCATATGCGGCCCACAATGGTAAAAAGGTTGAGAACCACTGAT